ATTTTAAAAATTTATCTAGGTTTGTATATGGACATTCACATCACACAGACAGACACACACGCAGCCACTAACACACACACACACACACACACAGAGAGACACCAAAGAAAAGTGCCTTAGAAATACACCAAAATGTGACTGGGCACAGTGGCTCATGCCTGTAATTCCAGCACTTTGGGAGGCTGAGGAGGGCGGATCACGAGGTCAGGAGTTCGAGACCAGCCTGACCAACATGGTGAAACCCCGTCTCTACTAAAAATACAAAAATTAGCAGGACATGGTGATGTGTGCCTGTAGTCCCAGCTACTCAGGAGACTGAGACAGAAGAATTGCTTAAACCCGGGAGGCAGAGGTTACAGTGAGCTGAGATCACACCACTGTATTCCAGCCTGGGTGACACAGCAAGACTCCATCTCAAAATAAAAATAAAAAATAAAAAGAAGTAAAAAAGAAATACACCAAAATGTTAGTTGGGGTCCTCTCCAGGTAGCAAAGTGCTGGGGGATATTTTCCAAAGTCCTTCTTTATATTCTCTGAGTTTTTCCATGTTCTTTAATGAGTATTTAAAAAGTAGAAAAAAAATAATATGACAAAGGACTTTTTGTGTGTGTGTTTGACGTTTTAAGGAAGAGATTAGAGCTATTCCCATAACCAGGTTATTTGAGTGGGTCTAACAAGCCTGTGTTACCAGAAATTATCATCTGGTCATTTCCAGTCTGAGAACAGAACACTTGGTTGTCCTGGCATTTCTCAAGCAGGGGGAGGAGTTCGCTGCAGGAATAAATAAGCCTCAGCATTCATGAAAATCCATCACTCCAGACAGACGGCTTTGGTATCCACCAGCTACATCCAGCTCCCTGAGGCAGGTAATCCTTGGTGTTTGACATCCTGGGAGCGGAGGAATCTGTTTTTCCAGGAAAGTTTTAGGGGGCAGCCTGGAGCGTGCGGCGTGTGAGGGGTGAGCTGAGGCCAGGAGGAGGTGTGCTCAGGTGTTAGGGGCCAGGGGACTGCTCTGGGCTGCCGCTGATTCCCGTGCCTTTTTTAGAGGCATCCTCTGTGTCTGGGTTTTCACACCTGCAAAGGGCGGAGGTGCCCTGGGGCCTCTACGGTCATTTCTGTCTTGATACGTACAGATTCTGGCTCGAGTCCGCTGTGCATCTGGCCCTCAGGGAGGAGGTGCTGTCCTCTTGCCTGGAGCAGGGTGCAGCTCTCAGAACATGTGGCAGATGTGATTATTGCACTGGGTCTCTCTGAGCAGAGGCCACAGGCCTCACGGTGATTTCAGGGTCTCCATGGGGCTGCCTCGGGGGCTCCACTTCCCCAGCAGGACCCCTGGCCAAGTCGACAGATGGGCTGTGTCTCTGGCCAGCAACAGAAAAGACAAACTGCTGGGAAACAGCCAGCTCTCCAACCTGCCCAAACAGAAAAGACAAGCCTTTACCCCTGAAATAGTTCTGGAGAAAAATATTGTCTAACATTAATCCAGAGAAATGGTTGCATCAGCCTGAGAGTAAACAGTTGAAGCAAACAAGCTACCTCTGTCCCTGGGCTTGGCCAAAGGCATTTCCACTGGCCTCCCCTCCTTCCCCTCCTTCCCCTCTCTCTTGCCCTCTTCTTTTTCTCCTCCTCTCTCTACCTCTCTCCCCTCCCCTCCCTTCCACTTCCCTCTCTTCCCTGCTCTTCTCCCCAGCACCCAAGCCGCTGCTTTTCTCTTCTGAATTCTAGGACTGAGTGGGCAGAGGCTGAAGGTGAATAATCTTGTTTGCTGCAGTCACCAGCTTGGAACTCAGCCCTTCCAGGGTATCTTGTGTAGTGGCTCATGGCTCTTCTCTGGCTTGTAGTTTCAGGCATGGGGTAGTATGGGAGGTTGTGACTCCCGGTACATCTAGTACGAACCAGGTGCCTTCATCATTTATCTCACCTGAGCCACTTAACATGTTGTGCAGAGATGGAAACAGGTTCAGAGAGGTTCAGTCACCTGCTTGCCACTACGCAGCAATCAAAATTGGCCAAAATGAAATGCCAGTCCAAGTCTGGGAGAATCCAAAGCCCTCTCTGCCTTCTCCCCACTAGGAGGCCCTTCCAGGCTTATGGTGGACACAGATGCCACGTGGCAACCTGGCAGGGGCAGAAAAGAACGTTAGCCTTTCTTTGATCTTGATGCCGACCATTATCAGGGCCATCTAGGCTCCAGACATTACACCGGGCACTTTCATTTCCCTCTCTCAGTCAACTCTCACTGCAACCCAGCATCACACCGTGGAGGCCTGCGGAGGCCACACCACGTGTCATCTAGAGGCTGGGAGAGTCGCTGTGGCCTCTGACTCTGTCCAGGGCTCCTTCATCCCTGGGTTGTACTTTGGTGGCAGTTAGGGGACTCGGGGAAGGGACCCCTGCTTTCTAATCCCCTAGGATGAGGTCTGCTCACTAAGCAGGAGGAGAGGAGCAGGCATTCTGGTTGGACTGAACCTCGGACCCCCCATCAGCTTCCAGACCGAGGAGCCAGGAAAATCTGGCTGCCCACTGGACTCCTTTACCTGTTTGCTGTATGGCCCTGGGCAAGCCCCTCACTGCTCTGTGCCCAGTTTTTCCACTGGAAAAAAATGGCAACAATTATGGCAGTTACCTCAAAGGATGAAAGGAAGCACAGTGATGTATGTCGGGGGCCCCAGAGAGCACCCACCTGAGGGAGGTTCCAAAGCTAGCAAGAGGCAGCAGAACAGGGACCAGGACGCAGGCCGGGTGGGAGTCAGTGGGAGGTGGTCAGGGCTCCATCTAGCCCTCTGAGACTTAAAGGATCTTTGCTTTGCAGAGTTGAAAATGGAGAGAATGTTACCTCTCCTGGCTCTGGGGCTCTTGGTGGCTGGGTTCTGCCCTGCTGTCCTCTGCTACCCTAACTGCCCACTTGACAAGGAGAATCCGACCCAGGAGGATCAAGACCGGGGGACGCATGTGGACCTCGGATTAGCCTCCGCCAACGTGGACTTCGCTTTCAGCCTGTACAAGCAGTTGGTCCTGAAGGCCCCTGATAAGAATGTCATCTTCTCCCCGCTGAGCATCTCCACCGCCTTGGCCTTCCTGTCTCTGGGGGCCCATAATACCACCCTGATGGAGATTCTCAGAGGCCTCAAGTTCAACCTCACGGAGACTTCTGAGGCAGAAATTCACCAGAGCTTCCAGCACCTCCTGCGCACCCTCAACCAGTCCAGCGACGGGCTACAGCTGAGTATGGGAAATGCTATGTTCATCGAAGAGCAGCTCAGTCTGCTGGACAGGTTCATGGAGGATGCCAAGAGGCTGTATGGCTCCGAAGCCTTTGCCACTGACTTTCAGGACTCAGCTGTGGCTAAGAAGTTCATCAACGACTATGTGAAGAACAGAACCAGGGGGAAAATCACAGATCTGATCGAGGACCTTGACTCGCAGACAGTGATGGTCCTGGTGAATTACATCTTCTTTAAAGGTGAGTGCCTGGCTTGGGGTTCAGAAGAGGTGGATGTTTAGTTTCGAGCCTCAGGGCTATTTCTGTCCTGACTCAACAACAGTGTTATTAGGCAAACCACTGTAGAGGAGAGTGCCCACGGCGTGGGGGCAGCATAGGCATCAAGGCCCCACCCTGCCCATAGGCATCGCCATCTCCTGTGGGTTTTTTCCAAATTACGGTTTGTCCTTCCAAGACATAACTCAGTGGGGACCATTAACCCTTGGTCTGAGTCAGTGTGGTGCTTTTCACTCTGATTTATACTTGTCCAGCAAACAGAAAGAAGGAGCTCTCCTTTCAAACCACTCCAGGGCGCGCAGGAGCTACAGCTCCCTCCTTGCAGGGGCGCTGCTAGACTGGGCCAGGAAGCCCCTCTGTCTGGATGCACCTGGGGCTTCTACCCTGCACATGCGGGAGGCGATGGTCCAGCCAGGGGACTTGGTGTCTGGAGGCAGGCAGGTGGGGCTAGGGCCAGCTTCACAGGGGAAGATAATCATCAAGGAGCCTGGCCACTTCCAAGGTTCTACGATTCTGCTCTGCTATCATCTTTAACTATTTTTAAAAATGTGTCATTGACACATAACAAATGAGGGCAGAAATGGCATTGTTCCCATCTGGGGAAGAGCCTGAAGGGTGGGCAGTATCCAAGACATGACCCTTTGCCAGACCCTAACTGGTCCAGAGCCCAATCCCATTGATAGAAACTTAACCAATGCAAACCTCAGCCTGCAAGCTCCGAAGGGGCAGAGCGCAAGCAGGTAGCTTCTGCCTCCTGGAACCCGCAGTCCAGATGGGGACAAAAAAAAAGAGATAGGGACACAAAGAGTGATCACTGAGCCAGAGGGTGGAAAGGTGCTTAGGAGACATGAGCTGCTTGGAGGCAGAGTCCTGCTTGGGGGCTGTGGGTTGATTCCTGGGCAAGCTGCTTCCTCTCCCGGGCCTGGGTTTTCATCTGTAAATGAATGCGTGGCTCCAGATCTCCCTCTAAGACTGCTCCATGCCTCACATGACATTTGTTCTTTGAGTTTCCCGTGTTCTCCCCTCCTACCACCTAGCCCTGCGCTAGGACTCTCCCCTCCAGGACACAGTAGCCAGCCCAGCTTTCCCTCCCCACCTGCCTCTGCCAATGGGAAACAGGCAGATGGTAAACAGGTGGGCAGTGGAGCTGGCCCCATGTCTCTACCCTCCCCTGGAAGCTCCCACTCCCCTCATTGTTCAGGCTCTGGTCCTCCTGGAGTGGAGACCTGCAGGGCCCCTCCCCTTCCTCTGTTGACCTCTCCTCACTCTCCAGGTGCCAGTTTTGCTCCCTGCCTCAGCCTGGTTTACATACAGTGTATGTGATGGGGCTTGGTCACTGCTGGGGCCGCCCTGTGGAAGGTGGAGGGGGCTGAGCATGCATGAGCTTCAGGCTGAGACCGTCCCAGCTCAGAACACTGGAGTGCTTGTTCCCTCCCTTTCTGCTCTTCCTCTTCCGCTGCACCCACTGGACCCGCGAGCATGCGAGGATTGACTCACCCAATGATGCTAGAACTATGTATTCAACTGAAAGTAAGGGAGAGGGGGCATCCAACCAGGGGCAGAAGATGGGAATTCAAGAAAGGAAGGTTTCCGCTAGAAAACTGTTTTCTTCTTTTCTCTTAAATCCAGATAGAAAAAGAAGGGAAGGCCATTACAGAAGAGATAAGTCGAGTCAAGCAGAGATCGGATACTAAAGACATTAGTCTAACCAGACATTCGGGCCCTCAGTTGAATAGTTGAGGATGTCAGAAGATGTTAAGGAGGCAGAATCAGAAAACTTGGTGACTGGCAGACAGAAATGGGGGGAGATGGGGCCAGATGTGAGAAGATTTAAAGGCTTGTAGAGCCTGGGTGGTGATTTCATCCAGCAAACCTATCCCTCTCCCCATTCTGGCATATAAGGCAGCAGTCAGGGTCCCCACAGGGAGCCCATCTTCCTGGCAGGGACCCATGCTGGAGATCTGGCCAGCTGAAAGGCTCCAGAGGAGCTCGGTGCCCTGGGTAATATGAGAAGGTGCTCCATGGTACTGCCCTCACATGGAGGCCACAGAAGCACCTGAATGGCTGCTGCAATTGGTGACGGGGACACCTGTTCAACTGAAATATCTCCTACCCTGAGATGGGTCCTTGCTCCGAGGGGTCTTTACGATTAGATTTGTCCCCAGTCATTCCATGTTGGGAGGTTGCAGGGACCAGAGAAGCTGAGATGGTCTTTGGGGAGGGGGAAGGAAAGATGGACTGTTATTTTGGTCCTAAAAGTCCAAAGGTGGGGAAGTGTCAAGAAGGAAGATGAGGGCACAAGAGAATGTAAGGCCACCCAGAAGCTAGCTCTCATTGCAATTACGGAAAGGAAAACCAAAATAAAGAAAGAAAGGGAAGAAGCTCCCATTTATTGAGCACCTACTCTCACCAGCCATACACATGCAATACCTCATTTAATCCTTGCAACAGCCCTGAAAGGTGGATGGTGGTGTTGCCATTTGTTAGGTAGGAGACATGAAGTCCAGAAAAGCAAATAATTAAACATTCAAAATTGACCTGGGCCCATTTGAAAATTCCTTTTTCTGCCTCATTTTAGCCCCTAATGTAAAGCCAGTTGTGACTTTATCAGCTTTTACCAAGCACCTCCCAAAACCAAGAATGGAGGTGACAGATTGTGGAGCCCACAACCTAGAGAAAGAATTGACAATGTTTTTCTATAAAGGAAAAGTAGTAAGTATTTTAGTAGCAGTAGTAGTAAGTATTTTAGTAAGTAAGTATTTTAGGCTGTGTGGTCCACATGAGGTCCCTTTTGCAGATTCTTCTTTTCATCTTCCTCCTCTGCTGCTTCTTCATCTTCTCTTTCCTCTTCATTTTTTTTTACAACCTTTAAAAAATATAAGCACCATTCTTAGCTTTAGGTACACACAGAAATAAGCCAAGGCTGTATTGGCTTACAGGCTATAGTTTCCTGACCCCTGTTCTAAAGGAGGAAAATAATTGTACCCAACTAAATTCATGCAAATCATGGGCCTATGTCGTAATTCCCGAAGAATGAGTTTCATGGAATTTTCAACATTTTAAATATATTACTCCATTCTTCCCTTGCTTGCATAGTTTCTGATGAGAAGTCTGCTGTCGCCGGGCGCGGTGGCTCAAGCCTGTAATCCCAGCACTTTGGGAGGCCGAGACGGGCGGATCACGAGGTCAGGAGATCGAGACCATCCTGGCTAACACGGTGAAACCCCGTCTCTACTAAAAAATACAAAAAAAAACTAGCCGGGCGAAGTGGCGGGCGCCTGTAGTCCCAGCTACTTGGGAGGCTGAGGCAGGAGAATGGCGTGAACCCGGGAGGCGGAGCTTGCAGTGAGCTGAGATCCGGCCACTGCACTCCAGCCTGGGCGACAGAGCATGACTCCGTCTCAAAAAAAAAAAAAAAAAAAAAAAAAAAAAGAGAAGTCTGCTGTCATTTTCATCCTTATTCCTTTTTAGATAAGGTGGAGTTTTCCTCCCTCTGCCCCTACCTCTACCTCTTTCAAGATTTTCTCTTTCTCTTTACTGTGGTAAATAGGCCTTTAGTGAGAGGAATTATATCAGTCTGGCTAGAAGTCAGACTGCATTTCATGTTTGTGATAGCTAGAGGTGCCAGAGGCAGTTTCATGGAATTTTACCTTTGCAACACTGAAAACCTAGGCAGCGTCAGAGTCAGAATACCCACAATTGAATCCTCGGCCAGACAGACACCAAATCCAGGGCAAGTCTTAGCTGGATGTTCATGGTCTGTAGAGGTGGACATGAGCACATGAGCTAGATATGAGCTGAGGACCATAGCCAGCTCATGGCTTTTTTGATGTCCAAAACCCCCACCCCCTAAGATGTCACAAATGTCCCTAGGCTTTTATTCCCATGGTCTCTCCTGGCTCTGAGTTCTATCTTCCACTAAGGTTCTCCCTGTTCCTCCCCTCATTCACACTGATTGGCATCTCTTCTGTCTGCCCTCACCAACTCACATACAGAACCCAGTCTCTTTCCTCCTATTTCCGCCCAAAGCCCTCCCACAAACCACTGTTATATGTTCACATCCCTGTAATGCCAGTGAGTAACAATTGCTAATGAAACATTTTTCCTATTAAGAAACCAAGGCTGTCCCATTTCTCCTCAGGCACCAGCCTCCCAAGTGTTGTCATGCTTCTTTCCCTCACTTTCCCTAAACCTCTCTCTCTCTTGCACTCCTTATTCCCAGATTCCTATTGATTTCTCATTTAGCACAAGAAACTAGGTCTTTCTTTCATGGCTCTTTTCCGAATCCAAGCCTGCTGGGCTCTCCCTCACCCCCAATAACTTTTACTATTGCCAAGCTACTTCTCTAAACCAAAGCAGGGTCACTTCTGTGAGGAACTCTGGGCACTTCCACTGCTGGGGAAGCAGAGTCAAGGCAGGGTGACCCTTGCACTCATACGTTCTCCAACTGCTTGCTCCACCTTCAGCCAAATGGAAGATGCCCTTTGACCCCCATGATACTCATGATTCAAGGTTCTACTGGAGCAAGAGAAGGTGGGTAAAGGTGCCCATGATGAGTTTGCAGCACGTGACTACACCTTACTTCCGGGACGAGGAGCTGTCCTGCACCGTAGTGGAGCTGAAGTACATAGGCAATGCTAGTGCACTCTTCATCCTCCCTGATCAAGACAAGATGGAGGAAGTGGAAGCCATGCTGCTCCCAGAGACCCTGAAGCGGTGGAAAGACTCACTGGAGTTCAGGTGATTCTTCCTGGCCCCCCAAGACCCCACATCTCTCCAACTCAGGTCTCACCAATGTCCAGGGACAAGGGCATGGTGGTGGGAGAACTCGTACAGGGACAGGTGGAATTTACACTTACTTTGCCCTGTGCTGCCTGGGTGGCTTTGGGCTTGATTTTTTATTTTTTCTTCTTTAAGATGATGACATCAGACAGGACAAGGGGCTAAGGCTTCCTCTGACTCCAGCATGTTCTAAGTCATGAGAAATCTTTTGCACAGTCCCAAACACTCATGCATGGTCTCTCCTGGTCTCAATCTCTTGAAGGGAGAGAGAAACAGAAGGAATTGTGATCAGTTGAGGGCTGTGGTGAGATGGACACTGAGAATCAGCTCTGCACTGGTGAACCACTATATTTATTCATTTGCTCAGCATTTGCTGCATGATTAATTGAGCACCTACTATGTGTCAGACACTAATTTGCACCCTGAGAGTAAATCAGTAAATAAAACACAAGATTTCCTGCCCTCTTGGAACTTACTTTGTAGTAGGAGAGGAGAGAGGCAATAAATAAATATAACAAATAAGTTGTATGATATGTTAGAAGGCGAGAAATTGAGTAGGGGGATAGAAACTGAGTAGAGGAGGATGAAAGGATCAGGAAAACTGGAACTTGTGTTAGCTTGTGATTTTAAATAGAGTGGCCATTAGGTGATGTCTGAGCATCCATATAACAGAGGGGAGGGGTGGAGTTGTGTTGGTATATCAGGGAAAAGCATTCCTGGCAGAGGGAACAGTCAGTGCAAAGCCTCTGAGGTGGAAGTGAGCTTGATATGTTCAAGGAAGAGCGAGGCCAGAGTGGCTGGAGCAAAGCGAGTGAGAAGAGAGTTGAGAGAGGTCAGGAATCCCCAAAGGGGTGGAGCAGCTTATGTAGGGCCACGTAGACCCCTAGAAAACCTTGTCCTTCCTCCTGTCTGTAAAATGGAGAGCCATCAGGAGGTTTGGAGGAGTGCGGCGAGCCGAGTGTTGTTTTAAAAGACGAATCCTGGCTGCTGAGAGGAGAATAACTATAGAGCAGGTGTGCAGTCGTTGACACCTGCAAGAACCAGACACAGACATGAGGTGGGAACTCACTGTGGCTGGGACGCAGGAGGGAGCCATGTATGTGAGAAGTGGTTGCATTCCAGATAAACCTGAGGGTGGAAGAACAGGCTGGGGCACATGGAATTGAGCTGACCGATTTCATGGGGACACAGTGAGGTGGAGCAGTAGTTCCGGGCCCAGACCCTGCAGTGGGCCCAGGGAGTGCATGTGGGCAACTGTGCGGGGTAGGGAGGGAGGAGCACCAGCCTTGGGTTCAGACCGTGGTGGCTGGTGTGACCTGAAGCAGGTCATTGCTCTTCTCTGGAGCTCAGCTCTCTCCTGAATAGAGAGAAGTGCCCTTTCCCCACCACCCCTGTTTTCACTAGGTGATTATGAGAATCCAGTGAGATATTGTATGTGGAAGCCGTAATAAACCACCAAGGGCGAGGAAGCTGCTTCAACACAAACTGAGGCTGCAGCCCCTGCCCCAACCACTGTCCAGAGGGCTGGAAACCTCTCGGGATTGCCTGACCCTTAGCCCCTCCTCACTCTAGATCCCAGGAGACCCCAGAACATGGGAGTCCTACCCAACCCATCCATTTACTCCCAGACTCCTTCCTCCTTTAGCACCAAATAGCCACCAGGGAGCGGGGCTCAGCAAATAGTTTTGAATGGCAAGAATTCTCCAAACACTTTAGATTTACAAAATGCTTAGATTTACAAAATGCTTAGATTTACAAAATGCTGTGGTCCACACACTCCTGGCCCACAGAGAATGCTCACTAGATATTTGCTGCACGAAGGATGGAATGAAGGGACAAACACATGAATGAATGAATAAAAATAGAAATAGGACACCTTCCTCCTTCGTGGGACTCAGAGTCCAATGGAAGACACAGCCTCCTGTATAATTGTAAGACCAGGCAGTCAGTGACAGGCGTCTTAAGAGGGCTATAAGCTAAGGGAGGGGGAGCTCGCAGGTGAGAGGTGTGACTTGGGCCTCTAACAGCTTGTTGCCTGCTCTATGCCAGTCCACACCTGGCTTGAGGGACAGTGCCCACCGGCGAGGCAAGATGGGAACCTCCAACTGATTGTTTCAGGGTCCCCAAAGCTCTTCCAATACAATCAGACTCCTCAGAGGCCCCCAGGCCCTTTTTGACCTGCCTCTGGCTCCTGCCCCACCTCATCCCTCACTATCCCTCTCCCTGAGACACTGAGGTCACCCACCACCCTGCGGAGCAACTCCTCCTGCTCCCACCTTCTTCCAGGTTCTTCCACCTGCCTCCTGCCCACTTCTTCACCTAGCTAGCTCCTTTCCCACCTTTGAGACTCAGCCTCAACGCCACCTCCTACAGGAAGCCTTCCTGGTGCTCCCGTGAAGCAAACTGCCATGCAGCCAGTGCAGCTGACCTGGTCCAGGCTCTCAACACAATCAGGAGTCCCTGCTGGTGTGAAGGTGCTTCGACCGCATTGCAAACTGCAGGGAAAGGGCAGGACCAGGCTTGAGCAGGGACACAACTCCAGACTTGGTGCGCTGCCTGGAGCCTTTCACACTTGCAGATCTGAATGAATAATTAATTAACAAGAAGAGTAAAGACAGGGCTTAAGAAATTGAGGAACAGATTATCTATTTCCAGTCAGAAGAGGGTGACTGGAGAGGAAACCAGGGAAGACCATGCTGCGAGATGGGAGGCAGGTAGGCACTGATCAGCAGAGGTTCAGATACTTTTTTTTTCTCATCTTCTAGACATATAGACGAGCTCTACCTGCCAAAGTTTTCCCTCTCGAGGGACTATGACCTGGAAGACGTACTTCGCCAGCTGGGCATTGAGGAAGTCTTCACCAGCAAGGCTGACTTGTCAGGGATCACAGGGGCCAGGAACCTAGCAGTCTCCCAGGTGAGTCTTCAGACTTGGGTCAATTCATCCTTTGTATCCGAACTTGAATGGTGAAAGCCAAATGGACTTTTGGGTACTCTTGAACTTGGGTTAATGCAAGTGCATTTCTCATTATGCACTCACCCTGCTTGGGACAGCCCCAAGCCAAGAAGAGCTAAGTTATAGCCCAGCTCCTGTTGCTGTGTTAGGGGCTGGTCCTCTACAACATAATGTCACCCAGGCTTGGAATCAGAAAGCCATGGACACCATTCCACACCACACCATTTACTACCCATGGAGGCAAACAATGGAAGTCCTCCACCCCCAGCTTTTCATGTGTAAAATGGTAGTGATAGTTCTTGGCCAGTACCCAGTGCCTGGGTACTTACTGTGGAAGCCACAATAAACCACCAAGGGTGAGGGAGTTGCTTCAACACTAACCTGAGGCTGCAGCCCCTGCCCCAACCACTGTCCAGAGGGCCAGATGCCTCTTGGGATTGCCTGGGCGGGTAATGCCAATAGGTAATAACAATGACTATCTAGCAATTGTGATGAAAATAAGCTCAGAGTATGAGAGAAGATTACTTGGGACACTCAGCTTGTGTTACTCAAAGCAGAGGTGCCAAGGCAGGGTGGCCGTGCAGCCCTTTGCTCTTGTCTGCCCTCTGTGCTCACACAGCACTGGGTTGAGAGCTGTACTCCACCTTTCAAACAGCAAAGTAACAGAACGGCGTGTGTAGAGGAGCAGACCCATATGGTTTAGGAATTCAAGGCCATGAAAAGTACTTGAAAACCCCAAAGATGTTTAAGCTAGAGCAGGAGAGATGCTGAAAGCCATGCTGGCCTGGCCGAGGAGGTTTCTGCAGCAGCTTCTTGTGGTCAAGAGCTGCCAGGATGTTGCTTGGAAGAAAAATACTTTACATTGCTCTTGCTCTTCCTCCCAACAGTAGTGGCTGTTTTGGGGGCAACAGACTCTCAACTCGGACAGAAAGGGATGCATATGAGTTGCTCCATCCTTTACCTCGATGGCTCTGGGCAAATCACACACAGCATCTGGGTCTCCATGTGCATATCTAGGCATCGGTACTGTGCAAAACTAGTTGGCAGGGGAGTTGAGAGGAGCAAACATTCAACAGCGCAAAGACAGGCCAGTGCTCGGTGCTCAATGCACATTCGTCCCCTTAGCGGCACACAGCCAGGTTGCTGACTTCCTGCCCATCTGCGTCTCCCATGAGTAATGTTCTGCTCTCCCCACAGGTGGTCCACAAGGCTGTGCTTGATGTGTCTGAGGAGGGCACAGAAGCATCTGCTGCCACAGGAGTCAAAATCACCCTCCTTTCTGCATTCGTGGACCCAAAGATCACTGTGCGTTTCAACAGGCCCTTCCTGATGATCATCGTCCCTATGGACACCCAGAACATCTTCTTCATAAGCAAAGTTATCAATCCCAAGCAAGCCTAGAGCTTGCCATCAAGCAGTGGGGCTCTCAGTAGGGAGCCTGGAATGGAAGCTGGATGCTCGGGTCTCTGGGCACAGCCTGACCCCTGTGCACCGAGTGGCCAGGGCATGTCTGGCCCTGTCTGCTCATCCTTGGAAGGTGACAGCAACTGCCTGTGTAGCTCCCACATGCACAGGGGCCCGTGGACTCTTCACTCCGGAGGGTCCTGGGTCTTCCGAGAGCAATAAACAGTTTCTTTGGACACGTTGCTTGTGCCTTTCCATGCTGACTGCCAGACTCTGTACCTCTGAGGCTACTTGTGCCCCAAAGCCAAGCCCCCTGACCACCCATGCAGGCTCAGCTCCACCCCAGAATCTGGGCTCCTTCTGCCTTCAGCTGCAGCAGCCTGCCCAGGACCACCTAAGCTTGTGACTGAGCTCACCCAGACCTCAGGCCCAGGGCTGGGAGGGGAACCTGCTGCTCTAAGGCTAATTCCTGCCTCCCGGGCTTCTGGGTGCCCACTTTCTGTTTCCCTCTTTCCACCCGCAGGGCCGAGGCTCCACCTGGCTCTTTCAAGAGCTCCTAGCCCTGACCACATCTAGCACAGCCCCCAGACCCCTCGCTCCTACAGCTGGGCAGGGCTTTATCATGGGACGTCCCTCTTCTGCCCTTTAGCACCCCTAATTTGGGGGAAGTAGCTACTTTCTGGGTTTCCAGACTGAGCCCCTCAACTGCTTCACCAGTTCCTAGCCCTGGCTGTGTGAATGATCTCCCTCAATAACCAGAGTGCAGAGCTGAGGACAAAGGAACCATCAGCACACAACTGCAATAAAAGCAATCATGTAGTCAGGCATTTAACCGAGGCTCTCAGGCACCTTTCAATCTCTATCACAAAGTCTATAATGATAATGTCGACAGCAGCTGATTACTTGAGGTTTTGATGCCAGACAATCTGCTAAGGTGTCTCCCTGAAATAACCAATTGAATCCTCCTGATGTCCCTATAAGATAAATGTTCTCAGCAGTCCCATTCTATGGATGAGGAAACTGAGGCACAGAGAGGCTTAGTAATTTTCCCAAGGCCATGTAGCTAGTAATTATCGCCTGTAGAATGTTAGCCTATCATTCCTGACACCAGAGGCGCCCTCTTAACCACAAAGTGATTTCCGTAGGGATTGCCTTCATGGAATGTACAACCTGATGGCAAAGAGATGGTGAAACAAGTCTGTGGAAGCTGGGGGAGAGCACCAAATTCAGTTTGGGAAGTCAAGAGAAGGCTTCTTGGAGGAGGCAACTTCTGTGCTGAGGTCAGGGAAAGAGAAGGTGGTCAAGTGAACAGAGGGGACAACACTTCAGGTGGGAAAAAGAGCAATGGTAGCATTCAAGAAACCAAAAGAAATTGGGTGGCTCTGGGGCAAAGAGCAGAGAGGCTGAGGGGCTACAGAGAGGAAGGGACCATGACAGAGCCGCTGGGCTGCAGAGGGGCTGGCCACTGGCAAGGATTCCCAAGTGTTTCCTTAGAGCCACAGGGAGCTTTAAGGGAGTTTAAACTCAGATGTGATGGAAGCAGCTTTGCACACTAGAAAAGTACTCTGGCTGCTGAGTAGAAAAATGATTCATAACCCAGGACAAGGATATGGGTTGGACATCGAGGGGTCTCTGTGGGAACTGGGGCAAAATAGGTGAGAGCTGGGGAGGGAGAGCAGGGATGATTCTGTTGAAAGACTTTGAGGAGAATGGGTGTGAATTTCTGATTGCAGGTGGGGTGGAAGGGGGAATCACTGTATTTGGGTTTGGGCACCTGGGTGACCCCCAGTTCTCTGAATAGGAAACCCAGCAGGGGCTTGCTGGCAAGGGAAGTCGATACATTCAGATTTGGACCTCCCATGTCTGAGGTTCCTGGGAGACACCCCAGGAGCTTGTTCAGGAAGCAGCAAGGCTGAAGTCAGGAGAGAAATCTGGGCTGGAGGGGAAGCATTCAGGATCCTCCCCTGGGATGGGCAAGTGAGTATTGAGGGTGTCCCCTCAAATGAGTGCCATGGAGTGAAAAGAAAAGGGGAACCTCAAGGACTGGCTAAGAAAGGACAGCCCACCAAGGAGAGTCACCAGCGTGGGGCAGGAGACAAGAGGACAGGGAGAAAGCTGTTGCCACAGGACCAAGAGGAGAGACTTATCCAGGGGAGAGGGGAGAAAACCTAGAGACAAATGATGAATGAATGGAATGAAAGGGTCCATGGGATTTAGTGATCTAAAACCACTCAGGATCACAAATGCAATGTTAGCAGAATTAAGGGAGGACCACAGTGGGCTGGAGAGTGAGCAGGAGAGGGAGAGAGGGAAGGCAAGACAGCATGCAAATGCCTGTTTAGACTGGCCTTTAGGGAAGGAGAGAGAGAGAGGGTGGTGGGT